TCCACAGCCGCTCTGGTTTTCTGTAGGGAAGGCGGGATGGAGGCAGAGGGTCTTGCTGGCATGGAGGCTGCAGCTGACGTGGGCCCCACCGGACCCGTTGGTGACGTAGGACTTGTGTCCATCAACAGGTCTGCCTAGCTCGCCACCTTTCAGAGATTGAAGTAGTGGTCCCACATGTATGCTCGATGCTTCCAGGCAACAACTGCCTCCCTCGGAGAGTTACGGGTTCTTGCTGTGTGGCTTCCCAGTCTGTCTTCTCTCCTGTTGAGAAAGTTTCCTTGCTCTGCAACCTGTTGCTTCTACAACATCCACTCAGTGCTGCTTGGCTAAGCTCCTCTTGATGGCATGGGGAGCTGTGTCATGAAACCACTACAGACTCTACTGCAGAGCTGTCCCTTGAGAGAAATATTCTTCATACTTGGCCAGTCAGGCCTCATGGAACACCCCTCCCCCTCCTGCTGTCAGTTGCTCACCTAACTCCAAAATGTTCCAGACCCAGGGGCATGGAGATCAATTTCCAGGGCCCACTCCATTGCCCATTTTCTCTTTCTAAAACTCTTGCTCTTGACCTATGGCCCATCTCAACCCAGGATGGTCTTTTGTTTTCAGTGAGGCATTGTAATGGTGTGTATGTATCTCCAAGGTCAGTTAGGTAAGACAAGACAGTCAGCTTTCTTACCCTATGAGAGACCTAAATGGGGTCATGGTCCATGAGTATTTTTATTTGTTATCATTAAAAATAAACATTATGTGTATTTCTAATACTGCTGTGGGAAAAATATCTATGAGAGATGCCATCAAATCTCATGGAGGTGTTAAGAGCTCAGACAATGATTATCAGAACCCATAACCTAAAATTATGTCTTTGAAGACTGCTGCTGTCTTATGTTGTCAAGATGATTCAAACTCATGCTGTTAGCTGTTGTCAGGTCAGTTCCAGTAGTTCTACAGCCTCGGTCAGATGGAAGGAAACCCGTCTGGCCCTGCACTGTCCTCTCAGTCAATTGCTGGGCTTAGCCCTGTTGTGCGGTCACTTTGTCCATTTCTTTAAGAAGTATTACAGGATTTATCTATGAAAAAACTAACTACTGTGTTCGTATTAGATAACTGTAAGATCTAAGCATCAGTGTGTGACCATGCAAACAAAGGACTTCATGAAGTGTGTATTTTAAAAAAATTTCTGTGTATCAAGGTAGTTGTAAAAGATTTCTTTCCCAGAATCAAGCCCACCTTAAGGCCAGGTTCTAACAATCTAAAAATATTGACTAGTACAGAAAGTGTTTCAAATGTGACTATTCTGATTAATAAAGTTTTTTTAAAGAGTAAAAAAAAAAGAAAGCAAGAAAAGTTACAGGAAGAACCCTTTTCATTTTTTGCTGACCCTTTGGCTCCTAACAGCCTTCTAAGACAAGGTAGAATTGCCCTGTATGGTGATCACCAGCTTGCTTTTCCTACAGAGCCGCTTCTTGGTTCATTTATCAGCTGAACATCATGCCACCACAACCAGGTATTTTACTCTCCCTTGTGTTAGACCACTTCGTCAGTTCATCTTTGCACCACGAATCCCAGAAGACTTGGTTTTTATTAAGTAAGTAAAAATGTATGTATTGAATGAATAATGACTCAAGGTGGGATGCATACTATTTGTACTTGCTTGAAACATCTAAAAATGTCATAAAAATAGTAATAGGGCATAATCATAAATTTATTTCTTACAGTATTTCACTCGCTAGCTCCCTTTCCTAATACTTTTTTTAAAAAAAATAATTTATTCATTGTCATTATCAGACTACTACATTTAACAATCGACAGCATGGAGGCAAAAAGAAAATCTACATTAAAACACTTTGGTTTTCAGAATCCTTTATACTTTCCACACCACAGAAACTAAAATGACCTGTTACACAGGTAGTCACAAATACAGTCTTTGAGGGATTTTTGCCCATACACATGAAGATTTAGTTTAAAGCATGCCTTCTTCGTAGCAGGTGGGCCCTGCCTCCACTGTGCGGGCCGAGTTCACAAATCTTTTGTAACCTGCAGCTTCCCTGTCACTTGTCTGGCTCTCCTCTCCTGCTAAACTTTGTTTCCTGAAAGTTATTAAAACCGCCTGCCACCACAGTATCTACGGCAGCTGCTAGACCAACCACCAAAGCTACCTTGGTTTCGTGGTTTGGCAAAATATTCCCCATCACCATAAGGGCCAGAGCTTCTGCCTCCACTTTCCTTCCTTCATGGGTCCAAAATTTCAAAATTGTTACAATTGCCAAAATCATTGCAGCTTCCACCACCTCCCAAGTTGCTTCCATCATTACCAACTCCACTCTAACCGTCCCCCACAGCCTTTGTATCCTCCACACCACGGCTGCCACCAGAGCCACCTCATCCACTGAAGTTTCCTCCTCCACCAGAGTTGTGATTCCCACCAAAGCCGACTCCACAGCCACCACCAGTTTCCAGAAGCACTTTGACCTCTTTGGCTGGAAGAGGCACTGGTCATCTCTTGCTTTGACCAGGCTTTCTTTGGCTCAGTTGTGACCATTCACAGTACAGTATTTCTGGACAATGATTTTACCTATGGAGTCATGGTCTTCACAAGTTACAAAAGTAGGACCCAAGGGGGGAAGAGTGAGAGCGAAGGGTTGAGGCTGGTTAGGGTAAAAACCACAGAGTTGCACAATTTGGTGGGTACAGGAAGGGTGGGAAGGAACTGGCTGGGACCTAAAAAGACAGTAATGATGGACATGGCCCAATGGTGATTAATTTTATAAAACATAATGCCTGGGAATGATTGTATGAAACACAATATAAATGAAGAACAATGTGAAACACAATGTATATGACCTTTGTAAGCAAACCAATATAAAATTTAAAAAAAAATGTAGCTAAGGGAAGGGCAATTACAGTAAAGAGTGGCGTGGACATTGTCATTTAAAAAAAGGGGGGGCGGGAATTACAAAAGCAAAGCTCCCTTCTTGCACAACCTCCTTCATTCATTAATTCAATCCCTTCCATTTTCCCGTCCTGCTCAAGATAATCTTGTAACTGATGTTTTTCAGTTGTTATTGTTGTTGTTGTTAGGTGCCATCGAGTCGCTTGCGGCTCATAGCGACCCTATGTACAAGAGCTCTAAATGCTGTTCTATCCTCAAGCCATCTCAAATGCACTTATTCCCACTACTCCAGTCACAGAATCGATCCACCTCATCAAAGGTCTTCCTCTCCTTCACCGCCCCTACACTCTGCCAAACATAATGTCCCTCTCCAAGGACCAGTCCCTC